TTTTGAAATCTGTTTTGGTGTACTGGTTAAGAGCAGGGGACTCTAATCAGAAGAACTGGGTTTGATTCCTCACACTTCCACATGCAGCCAGCTGGGTGACCTTGGGTCAGTCACAAGCTGTTCTCAAGAGCAGTTCTCTCAGAGCTCTCTCAGCCCCACCTACCTCACAGGGTGTCCTGTTGTGGGGAGACAAAGGGAAGAAGATTGTAAGCCGCTCTAAGACTTGGAGTCCAAGTGAAGGGCAGGGTATAAATCCTACTCTTCTTCACCTGCTATTTATATAGGGCACAAAAATCTACTAAAATCAAACAAACACCATATACATCCTAGAAACACAAAGATGAAAATCAGTAAGGGACTAAAATGGCAGGTCTGACAGGGCACAACCGACACCTGTCAACATGACTACACAGGCCATACACAAGATAATAAATTCAGCAAATGCTGGTGAACTAGAGCCCCCATCTTAAACTGGATGTAGTGAATCAACTATACTGACATTTTATACAGGGATGTGGGGGGAAACAGCAGAGTCAAGGCATCATGAAATATAGGAATCACTGTGTGAAATAACATGTAAAATCTCAGCCAACAAGAAAAATAGGTTAAGTTTGTGTAATACAACGTAGGACCCAGGTCACCCAGGTTTGTTACAATGGTCAACCCCTGTGATGACAAAGAAATGACAAATCTTTGTTCAAGCCAGTGAAGTGGTAAGAAGTAACTTTATGAATCCCAGTTTGGACATTGTTTCTGACCTGAAAGTCAAAGTTCTTCAAGAACAGAACTTCAACAGGGAGATTCCAGCACAAAACTGCTGAATTGGGATTCCTCTCACCAAAACCTAGAAGAAAATGATTAATAAAATGTCACAGTGGAAAAGAAGTTACAAACGTAAGAGATACATAATGAGCTGATATTTGCAGCCAGTAACCAAAAGGATCCAAGAAGGGCTTCTTCAGGAATGGAGGACTTCCGGTCTATGGCTTCAGCGATGGCGGAGGCTCTCTCCTGAACGGGGGAGGCATTCCGCGCTCCAGGGGTGCTGGAGGGGTGTCACCTCAAGTGGCACCCCCAGGTGAGCCTCTGTGGGGCTCCAAGCCGGGGGTGCTTGAGGGGCGACCTCTTCCACGGCTTGAAGCCGGGGAATTGAGGCGCTCCTCCCTGCCCCATTCGGTCCACCCCCTGAGAGGCTCGGTTTTTACCGAGCATAGCTGAATGCCGATCGGGACAAGCAAGCGGGTCAGCAAATGAAGCATGATTAAAAGGAGTCTGTGATCAGACTGTCAAGGAACTGGAGAATGAGACGAGCGAAGAAGCTTTAAAAGTGAGTTCCGATCCCCCCCCCACCCTCAGCGGCGTCGGGAGGAATCCCAGACGTAAACAAACCGAACTGTGATTTAAAGAGACGGGGAGGGGGAGAAGACAATTAATCACTCAAGCGTGCCAGAGACTTAACTGTTTTTTGCGGATAAACCAGCACTTGCTGAAGAAGTGTGAAAAAGCACTCTTTAGTATAAACAAAGCGGAAAATGGCCGGCGTCCGAGGGAGAGGAGTAAGAGGGGGGCGTGGTTCTCAAAGTCCGAGAGTGGAGGAAGGAGATGTTTTCTCCACACTAACAGAGCTGCTTCGGCCCATTCATGAAAGACTCGATGGCCTTAACCAATTGATTGCTGCCTCAAACCAGAGCATGGCAAAACAGCAACAGCAGATCACCGAGCTTGTGAAAAAATCGATCCAAACTGATGAAAAACTTAAAGAGACCACACATGATGCTAAAAAGCTGAAGAAAAGAGTTGGTCTGATGGAACAAAAGCAGGATCTACACGAAAGGAAGCTATTGAACCTACAAATGGACAAAGCGAATAAAACCCTTAGATTCCAAGGGGTGGCTGAGACGACAGGAGAAATTTTGAAAGATGTGGCAGCTGAGCTAATCGCTCTATCGCTCGGCATTGCAACGGCTGAAGCGCATGCAGAGATAGAAGTGACATATCGTTCTTACTCTAAATATATTAAGCAAAACAAACTGCCGGGCGAGATCGTGGTCAAATTTCTCCGACGACAGACAAGAGATGATATTCTCAAAGCAACAGCAGACAAACCCCTGCAAATGGGATCAGCAAGTATCAGGGTCCTTAAGGACGTTCCATTTGAGGTTCGACAGAAAAGAAAAGCGTACAAAGAACTCATCTCAACACTTCAGATCAACCAAATTCAATACTCCTGGCTTTTTCCAGAAGGGGTCCAATTCAAATATAGAGACAAAAGAGAAAAAATCGACTCGGTGTTAAAAGCAGAAGAATGGTTGAAGCAATTCTTCGGACAGAAAGAGGAAGAGCAGCAAGACGGAGGAGGCCAGGCAGCCGACCTGGAAGAGACGGACAGAGACCTACTTGGAGCAGAAGGAGGCACGGCCAGAGAAGCATATGACTTGCGGCTAAGAGTTGCCAAATAGCACTTATGAACTAAAAAGACTTATGGATGAGCTGGAAGAAGTCTATGTGCACACTGAGAAGAAATTAGATATACAACAAAATGGACTAACTAATCTCCTAAATTCCTTGACTTAATGAAAGCATTAATCTTTATAACTAACTGCATACTAACTGTTAATGACCCTACTTTCTTGGGTTTTTAGTTATAGTGTGGGTTTTCTTTCTTTATACTGTTTGTATCCTGGGGTTTGTTATTTTAGTTTGTTATTTTTTTCCCCCCCTTCCATTTTTTCTCCCTCTCTTTTCTTTCCTTTTTGTAGTCACGTAGGTGTAATAAAAAATCAACCCCTTCGGGGGATTAAAAAAAAAAAAAGGAATGGTCTCACAGCCCCCCCCCCCCCTCCTTAAAGGTGGCTGGGGACCACCACCCCCTCTCAATGAGGAATTTACAACTTCCCTTTCAGCCAGATGTAATAAACCATAAAGGGCAAGGGTCAAGCAGGCATGTTGTAGGTCCGAACGTTCCCAGTGTGTTGTATATATCCTTTAACTGCAGCAATTAAACATTCAAGCAAATGTATCCGGATGCAGACAGAACATGAAATTACTCTCAATGTCTAGAACAATGTGACTGTTTTGCCCTTGCAGTCAAATCACATCAATCTGTTGAGATCTCTAGGGTCATTATGCCAACTTACAGGAAGCAGCTTTCTTATGCACTGAAACAGTTCCACTGGACATCTCTGTGCAAGAGTGTCAGAGAAGGAATTTTTCCATTTGGCCATCATCAACTTGGCTCTGCATGAGCTCCGGCCTGTGGTTCTACCATATAAATCCCGAGACTTTCTTCATCCGTTTTCTAGCCATTTTATATGCTAGTGCCATGGCCTTATGCTCTGTGGTTTACCAAAGGGCTGAACAGGCACAGATCAGAGGAAGATAACACCTAGGAGCAACCCTGTCAATCAGCCATATCACCTCCTTCTGCCAGATATGGATCCACTTTGACAGAACTGCCCGGAGTGCCTAGTAGAAATCCTCCAAGTGCCATCTGGAAATCATCCAGCACCAGCAGTCTGCATGGGCAGAGCTAACTGGTCCCCTGCTCCAGAAGACAGAGAAAGCCCCCACGAGACTCTGCCTTAGCATGCAGTGAGTGTTCTACCATGAACAAAGAAGAATTGAATTATCCCTGTCCCCAGATCGCTACCTCATTGTCAGCAGAGAACAGCAGATCAAGCATATGTGTTGGGCCAATGACATTTTGGGATAGCCCCGTGGCCAGCATGATGGCTATGAAGTCCTGAGCTGCACCAGACAAGGCACCCTTGGCATGGATGTTGAAATCCCCCACAACCAGTGATATCTAGTCCATAGAAGCTGATGATGGATGGAATGAAATGTTAGTCTTCAAGGCACCACAAGACTTTTGTCTATTGTTGCTGCAAAAGACTCACACAGCCATCCCGTCGAAATTCTTGCTCCCTTCCCATTTTATTCCCATGACAACCCTGTGAAGCAGGTTTAAAGTGCTAGTTTGAGGGGGGGGGGAACTAGTCCAAGGTCACCTTGTAAGCTTCATAGGAGAACAGGGGTTTGAACTCGCATTTCCTTCCCCCAACACATTAATCACAAAAATCTATGGCTGGCTTTTCCCAGAATCATAACTGATGAGTAGAAAGGAAAATAACATTCTGTTTTGTGGAAGTGTTGTAACATTCTGTTTTGTGGAAGTGTTTTTTTTCCTGTGGAGGACAGGCACCCAGATACAAAGCATATGCTAGTAATACAGACACCAAATATTACCCTTTTTAGCACGCACAGCTGCAGCCTGCCTAAGGACCCACCTGCACTCACACTGGCGGCCAGAGAAATGAACAAAAAACTTCACTTACACATGAGATAATGTAAAAACGTTTTTATTCTAAATTACTTTCACAACAGTGAAAATTAGTGAATAACAATGGTGTCATCGGTTGCCAGCCAGAGGCTATGTGCAATCTGAATACATGATTTGGGGTGGGGTGAGGAACATCAGGAGAGCGCTAATAAAATGCCAAAAAAAAAAAAAGAGGCAAGACAAAGCAGAAATTCAAAGACTGCTCCAAATCACCAGTAAAGCATGATAAATGTTCTAACGGCCTGCTTCAAACAGAACAGCAGGCTTTGGTGCCGTTTTTCAGTGTGAACAGTGACAGTAGCACCTTTATGGCCTAGAGCTCACTTGGGCAGAAAGAACCTAAAAGAGGCTCAATTCCATGAACGTTTCCAGAACCATTCATCTGTTAACCTTTCAAGGGGCTACATGACACCTGATTTATTCATAAAAAGAGAGCCAGTTTGGTGTAGTGGTTAAGTGCATGGACTCTAATCTGGGAGAACCGGGTTTGATTCCCCACTCCTCCACTTGCACCTGGCTGGATGACCTTGGGCAAGTCGTAGCTCTGATAAGAGCTGTTCTTAAAAAAGAGCCCTTTCTGTCAGAGCTCTCTCTCAGCCCCACCCACCTCACAGTGTGTCTGTTGTGGGGAGGGGAAGGGAAAGGAGTTTGTAAGCTGCTCTGAGACACCTTTGGGTAGTGAAGGGCGGGGTATAAATCCAATCTCCTCTTCTTCTTCCAAAACAGGGAGACCACTGACAGCCTGATCTGGTTAGCATCACAACAACACTCTTCGGATCAGTAAGGCTCTCTGCAGTCTCCTCCATCTATATACCCCTCTCTGCACAGACAGCAACACTACATTTTAAAAGAATCCCAAGCCACTTATGCCTGCTTCAATACCATTTAAATCCACAACAGAACCTTTCACATTCTTTTTTTTTTTTACAATAAATTTAAGTTTTCGATCATGACCTTCACTAAACCATTTACAAGATTGCTTTTGGAAGTACAGTTTCATTTCCACAGTGTTCAATTTCCCCCAAGCAGTAAAAGGAGAAAGGAAATATCAGAAATCCCTATGGTATGCAGCAATACAACTTAATTTTCCCTTATTAACAATAGGTGGTGCTGTCGTCTCCCCTAGAAAAATTAATCCAAGCCCTACATAGGATCTGTGAGGACACCGGTTTATAGCAGCTTAGTTTGGAAGAATCCCTGTTTTAGAAACACACCCATCCCTTTGAACCCCTTTTGGAAGTAATAATAGAAGACTTTTTAACATAAAAGGAGGGGAAAGCTCCTAGCATGACTACTTCTTCAGAGTATCACACAAATTGCTTCTATTGCACATGAGGAAACCTGAAGGATTACCTAATGCTCAGATGATGTTCTACTGGCCAGGCTTTCCAGGTGTCTGGGGGGGGGCAAATCTCAACCCCCTTCTATTATTTTGGGAAAAGGCGTACTGATATGTTTCCATAATATGATACTTCCAAGCTCATCCTCCCAGGCACAGCATTAAACCTGAGAAAAACACTCCCCCCACAGAAATTTAATCCACTCAATGTTGTAATCACAATTTGTTATGGAAACCCTTAATAATTGCCACTAGTCTCTGCTTGTAAACAAACAGAGGGAAAATCAAAAGCAATGCAAAATTAAAAGACCAGAAGTCTTTTAAAGACATCCTTCTATTTACAAGAAAGTCAGAGGTCCCCAAACTGAGGAATCCCTTATATGTTTAGGTCTCATGGATCCAGAATTTCAGCAGCAACACTTTGTAAAGCTTGATATCCTTCTTTTTCCTCTCACCCTCCCCCAGAGAAGAAATCCTTCTATATACAGTTCTCAGAATAGCCCTCTCTCGGGCACTATCCAGCAGAAAACTCTCCCCTTCATTTCATCAGGACATGCACAGAAAAGCATCCTGTTGGATTGTGCCTAACCTTCAAAGGAATACCTTTGGCAATTTGGACAAGCTCGCGTGCTAAGAGCCATCAGCAAGGAGCTTCTACACACAAACAATGATTGAGAACAATGCTTCTTCTTGTACTACCAAAACTTATAATCACTTCAGTGGCAGGGCAGGGGGGCAGAGTAAAAAACAGGGATTGTCTTCCACTCCTCCTAACTCAGCCACATCAAAATGTGTGTGTGTGTGTGTGGGGGGAATCTGAATACATCTCAGGAAAGAGGAATGAGTACAATAAACCACAATAGCCAGAATTGTGTCAGTCCCAAATAAAGAGTCGTAGGCTGCTATACAAACTTTAGGAAAACAACACTGCTTTTCTGATAAGGAAGTATGCTGAGTGACAACCACTGAGTGGCCCCTCTAGTGTCCAATAGTTCCACCCAAACCCTGAGATGAGAGAACGTGTCCCATCTGGCTCCAGAAAATGAAGGTATTCCAGTTTTATGACTGAAAAAAATCTCTGATGCTCTTGGCTTTAAAGTCATCTTCAAGAGGGATGGTAACAGCAGGAACAGAACATCTCTGAGGTGATACTATCTTCCACCAGATGTTCTCCACCAATCCATTTACGATGAGAAGAGATTACCTGGAGCAAGTGGTACTTTGATGAATGCATGGAACTGGGTCCCAGTGTGTGTGTCTCCCTCTTCCATGGCATACACTGCTAAAGTTTCCATGTAATGCCTGCCACCCACTCTCCCTCCTGGGTCAGCACCTGCTCTAGTTTATTGGCACACAAATGTCAAAGAATGCTCCCTCTCAGGAGCATGGAAGTTCAAAGCTGGGTTCATTATTGCAGCCAGGTACCTTTTGTGTGAGACATGGTGGAACTTGAGAATGCTTTTAAACAGATCTTTAATTCCATAACTTTGGTGCAATAAGCGAGATTCCTTCCTCACGTTGCAACACCATGGCTACCAGGATCCCGCCATTATCTATGGAACCAGACACCAAGAGGTTTACAGTTGACCAAGGGGAGGCAGCAGTCTGTAACTAGCTCAGAGCCCCGCAAACCATTGTACAATACAGCACACGGAGCAAAGTTAAGCAATCAAGAGCCAGAACATGATCACCAGAGCCACAAACAGGAAAAGACGAGACAGGAACTGTTCATCCACATACTGGGGAGTCCCTGGAGCAGCTGGAAAATTGGAAGGAAACAGCCGTTATCCTCTCATCTCTAGCAAACACAAACTGAATGCAGTGGATTTCCAGGGTCAGAGACAAAAGCACAGAACTAACCAATGTACTGCTTTTTTTCATTAGCAAAGACTCCCCTAACTCTTCAAGAAATAAAAATTCTGACTTTCAGTTAAGATGGCAGAGTAATCAGAAAAAAAGCAAAACAGCTAATAAATTTGTTTTTAATTAGATCAAATATTCCAGATAAAGGTAAGCACTCACACTATTCTTTTGAGAAAAACTAAAAAAAAACCTTGATCTAAGTTAAACAGCCAAAAAGATCTTTCACTTGAAATAGCCACATAGCAGACAGTAAAAATGACTCCAAAGAGGTACAACCCCAGTGGATTTTCGGGTATGCTTTGAATGCAAACATATTTGCCTTATATTGTGTTAGACCTTAGGTCCATCTAGTTCAGTACTGTCTACTGTGACCAGGAGAAGCTTTCAGAACATCAGGCAAAGAAAGGTTTTTCCCCAGCATCTGTTACCCAGTATGCTTTACCTCAAGGCGTCAGATAACTGAGTCTGCATGCAAACCAGGTGTTCTAGCACTGAGCCACAGCTGCTCCTCAGTGAAGATTTCAGGAAATTTATTTGGGGTGTATCCCAGCAAGGGCTGCCAGTCCCCAGTAGGAGGTGGGGGATCCCCCGGTTTGAAGGGCCCCCCCCTTGCTTCAGGGCTATCAGAAACCAGGGAAATTACCCCCCTCCCAACAGGCAAGAAACCAAAAATAAATGCGACGTGCCCACATCACCTAGAAGCGAGGTAGGCACATTGGTGATGTCAGGGGGAAGGGGATGCTGTGTTTTTTGGACAAAACTCTACAGTAAGAAGCTAATTCTACCATAGAGGTTTTGCCCACAAACCAGAGCACTGCCCCCAGAATCCCTACATCACAGGTAACATAGGCATGTCGTCCCCAACATGCCTATGCCATTGCACTTCTTTCCGGCTTCTTCCCTCCCCACTCTTGGTAAGTGACCCCCGTCCCCCAACTGCTCATCCGACGGACCTGGCAACCCTAATCCCAGCCTTATTCTACCACTCCATTGAGCAAAGTTTGAATCCTTCCTCCAGCTCAAGTGGTTCTTTCTTAGGCTGCTAGACAGTTGGATCCACCCCAATACACAGACAACTACATGTGAAATACACATTGAATCTTCCCAAATACAGATTCTGTCAAAGAGCTTAGCTCACACACACAAGGAGGCAGAGCTCTCAAAAGCCTGCTCAGAACTCTTCAGGATGGGGCCACCATAACTGACTCAACAGCTTTTATTCAGTATGGAATACTGAAATCAATCACTGCATGGATTACTGCATTGGAGAACTGTCAAGCACAGAAAGTTTTGTTCTCAGTTCATGCTTTCTTAAAAGGACACTCATGTCACGGGAGCTTGTAAAATAGAAAAACTTCTTGCTTTAATGCCAAAGGTTCTAAAATATTAAGATCCTCACTTACACAAGAGGCAAAGTTAGCAGAACCAATCAACCCCAGTTTTTGAGATAATCCTTCCTAGTCTTATTTTGGACAGGGTCATTATCACAGAAGCCAGAGTTAAAGGCGGGGTAAAGTGTTTTTCTCCAGTGGGGTCTTCTGAAAAGTTAAGATGCTCTGTACCTGGGGGAGGCCGACCATCATTTATGTTGAACGCTGTAGCAAATATACCAAAAGGAAATGCCCCAATTCCAAACGACATTTGGAAACCTCCATCACCAAATCCAAATCCCTGGAAACCCTTGAAAGAAAGAAAGAAAAAACAATGAGAAAAACGTTAAATCTTTTACACAGTCACATTGACAATGCTAGACTTGGTCCTATTACAAACTATGAGCAGCAAAGAGTGGCCCTTGGCCAGTCAATGATACCCACCAGGAAACATGTAAGAACAATCATTAAAAGCTCCTGTGAGACTCCATTTCCCATTCACAGAAAATGCTGACCACTGCAGCTCTAGTCTACTGCTCTGGCCTTATCTCATTCCAAGACCCAGCAACAAGGCATCACAGCACGTGGTAAAGGGGCTGGGAAAATGTAGAGAGATGGTGAGCTGAACAACTGTGCAAGAAGGTAAGCGCTAGAACAAGTGCTAAACCAAGAAAGAACAGTGGGAATTTAGGACTGAAAAGAATTTCTGTAGCAACTTTAACAACCCCTTAATTCTGCTGTAGCAGTTTAAACAAATCTGTAGCAGTTTAACCTGGATCTAAGCTAGACTTGTAAGAATTAACTTGAAAACTACAGAGTAGATTCAATCTACCTTGAAAGAGTTAACTTTTAATTCCCTTGTGGCCAAGGCTGACCTGGAGAAGTTGAAAGAGGAAAGGAGGATGTAGACAGGACTTGCAAGGATCTGCTATAGACTCATGGGTCAAAATTCCACACCTGAGGCATAACTGAATACTGAAGATATACTATTGTTTACCAGATCAGAACTTTCAGGGATATTTTAAGATTGGGGCGGAAGGGCAGGAAGCCAAAGGGAAAAAGATCTCAAAAAGGGCTGTCTTCGGTTACACTCACACTGACCAGGTAAAAGCAAGTTCAGATTGTGGCAAAGACGGCCATGGCCATGCAAATGGCCATACCTTGGAACATTTAGCGATGGAGCCAACCAGAAGAAAGGCAATCTGGACCTGGTGAAATTACAGGCCAGTTAGCATAACATATGTTTCAGATAACTTGGCAGAAAACATTAGTAAAGACAGAATTAAACTTATAGGAAACCAAGTTCTATTGAGGAGGAATCAGTGTGGCTTCAGAGAAGGGAAGTCCTGCCTCACCAGCCTCTTGGAGTTATTTGAGAGTGTAAACAAACATATGATAATGGTGAACTGACTTGGACTTCTAAAAAGCTTTGGAAAAGGCCCTCACTAAAGGTGCTATCAAAAGTTCAGCAACTGATTTAATAAACCAGCAACTCTCCAAGGAGAATGAACTGCTGAGTGCTTTCAGCTATCCAACAGAGAAATGCTCCTTAATCACACTCAGCAGAGCTGTTTGTCTGAAGCAATGAGGACAGCGAGCAGACTCTGGGGGCTCCAAGCCAACTTACATGGAAATATGCAACTCTTTCATCAGGTCGTACACACACTTCATCTGCACCTTAAAAAATTATGCAGACTGTGCCAGCTCTCCCAGCCATGCAAAGTTTACCATTTGTAGCTGCTGTGCCTACATATTTTATGTTTGCAAACATTCTAGTACATCACTAGCAACACACTGGCGCGATGCCAACTGCAGTCAAGAGTGTGGTTGCATACACATGCCCAGAGAATTTAGAAATCTACATTCTAAAATTCAACAAGCAGAAAACAAACTACTCCCACAAGCAAATAGGTTGATGTATGAGGGGAGGGGAGGGGAGGGGAGAGGAGAGGAGGGGAGAGGAGAGGAGAGGAGAGGAGGTTTTAAGTTGTTTCTTAATGGGACTAAAGGGAATCAACGTAAGCACAGGGAAAGGGAAGAGGAAAAGGTCTCAAAATCAGAAGGAATGGAAGGAATTGATAGCTGTTCTAATATTCCATTATCTAGCGCTTTGGCTTAAATTTCCCAGATTTTGCTTCTGGAGGAGTAGGCATGTTAGTCTGAGCAGGAAAAGCACTATCTTGTGGCACCTTCAAGAGTAACTGCTGCAAGGACTGCACAGAGTGGTGGGAGATAAGACAGAAGATCAGACGTGTGCTGGTCACCTATCTGCCTCTGGGTTCAAATGAAGATGCTGATTCTTGTATTTCTGATTTGGGACTACCTGTCCTGGTACGAACCTGTGATCCATCTTCAATCTGCCCAGCAATCCCTACTCTCTGCTCCTACCCACCCCCAATTTGCTCACCTGGCCTCTACTAGAGGGCCAGGCCACTTGCTGCCTCAGCCCTCAGAATGGCCCACCTGAAGCTACGTGGCAAACGCAGACATTGTTTCCTTTTAGGACAGCTTGTGTGACTTCTTATTTTTAAAGGGCTTTCTGTAGGTGCTGGCATAATTATAACATCTTTCCTGCTGGATTATTACTGAAGAGAATGGCAATGAGGAAAGTTCAGTTGGAGGGTGGGATTTTTATACCAGTTTCTAATTATTTGATTGTTTTGGTTAGCAGCTTTAAGTCTTGGAATAAGGCAGGGTATAGAAATATGCAGGGTTTAGAAAAGGTTACTTTTCACCTGTGACTGCATCTGAACAGCATTCACCAGCTGTTTTGTATGGTTAGAGGGCCAATTCCATGTGGGGCTAAAATTGGGAATCTGGGGTGCAGTGACCAATTTGCTGAACTCTTTGTTGCTGAGATTATTCACATCTATTCTGACTTCAATGGCTCATTATCTACAAACAGGGCTTTGATTGTACCCGAGGCTTCCTCTTATTTTTTGGCACTTTTCAGGCTATGCAACTTGAGAAGATGATCCTAGGACAGGGCTATTTTTGGGCAGGAACGCACAGGAATGGAGTTCCGGCTGGCTCCCAAGTTGGCCACGCCCAGCAGGAACTCATTAGCATAATAGACCACACCCAACAGCAGAAATTCATTAGGATTGGCTACATTAAGGATGTGTGGCCTAACATGCAAAGGAGTTCCTGCTTCAAAAAAAGCCCTGGGTTTTGACAACAAACAAGGTAAACAGAATAACAAGCAAAAGGTGGGTGTGGCTGGATAACCACACTTCTGGTAACATGGGGGTGCGTCCTAATGTGCCAATGAGCTGTGCTGGCACGAGCGTGGCCTAATATGCTAATGAGTTTCTGGTATTGGGTTTGGCCTATTATGCTAATGAGTTCCTGCTGGGCTTTTTCTACAAAAAGAGCCCTGTCTAGGATATATGATGCCCATCACAAGAATTCTTCATCCTTGTCCTTCCTGGGCAATTCAACTGCCCAAGGAAAAACTGAATCCCTGATTCATGAAAGTAGTAACGACCTTCTTAAAGGAGGAATTGGCCTCCTCAGTGTTAAAATGACCGTGTTGAGGCAACTTCTAAAGAAGCCTACTCTAGACTATGATCTGAACAGCTTCCATCCAGTCCATTCCACTCTCGGGTAAGGTGCAGGAACAAATGGAAGTAACACAGCTCTAGGAGCTCTGAATAATTATATCAGTTTGGCTTCCAGTCCAGTTTTGGACTGAGGCTGCCTTGATCACTGTACCTCCACTGGGAGACAGATAAGAGGAAGTATCTCCCTGATTTTCCTCCCTGGAGCTTTCAATACCATTGGCCAAGGAATCCTTCTGGGTCACCTTGCTTGGATGGGACTGCTGGGTACTACAATGGAGTACTCCTAATACATGACAGTTACTCCACCCCATGGCCTTTGGCTTGCAGATGCTGCAAAATTCTCTCTTATGCTGTTTAGCATCTACATAAAACTGCTGGGAGGAACCCTCTATATTATATCATCAGCATGATATTAACACTGTCCTTCCCATCCAATTCTAGGGAGGCAGCAGAGGTTCTGAAACCATATCTGGCTTACATATGAACTGGACAAGAATGAATAAAATGAAGCTTAAGTCAGACAAAGTAAAAATATTGTGGACTGGAAATATGTCTGATCTACACAGCCTGGGTTAGGAGCAGCTGCACTTACCCTTATGATCCATTTGAGCAGTTTTGGTATGCTCCTGGATCTACCACTGAATCAGGGGTGGTGGCCAGGAGTAAATTCTACCAGCACAGGCTGGATCATCACCCTTAAAAAAAAGAAAGAGCTCGCCACAGCACACTAAAATCTTCCTTAGTTGCCCTTCTCCGTTTACTCCCAAGAAGTTCAGTGGGTGGGCCACATGGAAAGGGCCTTTTCAACAATGGTGCCAAGATTATGAACTCCCTCCCTAGGGAAATTCATTTCCCTCCGTCTCAGATGGCACCTAGACACCAGGTCAAGCCACTTTCTTCAGACAACATGGGATTTCCCAACTAGATGGGCTGTTTGCTACTTTTGATACGCCTCTGTTTTATATAAAGGGCTACTTTTGCCAACTTCTGCCAAGCTTTATTTTGTTGTATTTATGTATTATTAATCTGGCTTTATCAGCCCCCTTGTGGACTGTACTAGTCAAAATGGAGAATATAAATATTTTAATGTGCTAAAGGCCATGATTACTGCAATTTGCTCTACGCCGGCTTACCCTTGAGGCTGACCCGGAAATTACAGCTGGTGCAAAATGTGGTGGCGGCGCACCCACTAACAGCAACACCTGTGCAGGCTCACGTTTGGCAGGTGCTCCGCCAACTGCATTGGTTGACAGTTGAATTCCAGATCCACTTCAAGGCGTTGTTCCCGGGCCGTGTAAGGCTTTAAAGGTTATTACCAACATACCCGAGGGACCGTCTTTTCCCGTATACGCCCCGAAGAGCGTTATGTTCCATGGATCAACATCTCCTGGTGATTCCATGGATCAACATCTGTCCTGCCTTGACCCGAGCCAGGGCTTTTTCCACCCTAGCCCCTGCCTGGTGGAATATGCTCCCCATTGAGATCAGGGCCCTGCGGGATCTCCTTCAATTCTGTAGGTCCTGTAAGACGGAGCTGTTCCAGCAGGCCTTTGGCTGAGGCAGCGGACGTACAATGTATGGCCTCCCTGAGGTTCTTGTCACCCATTTAACAACTGTTGGCCATTATTTACATCTTACCGTGGGCCAGGACCTCTCACAACCGTTAATCTTTCTACTGTAAGGTTGTGACCACCATTTTAATGTATATGACAGTGTCTTAATATTTTAATTATGTATTGTATTAACAAAATATTGTTTTTATTGTAATGATGACATGTTGTTGCCCACCCTGAGCCCACTTGTGGGAAGGGAGGGCTATAAATATGAATGAATGAATGAATGAATGAATGTGCCCTGACCTGGGCCCAGGCTAGCCCAGTCTCATCAGATCTTGAAAGCCAAGCAGGGTCAGCCCTGGTTAGTATTTTGATGCGGGACCCCCAAGGAACATCAGGGTTACTACACAGACACAACCAATGGCAAACCACCTCTGTCTCTTTCCTTGAAAACTTCACAGGGTTACCATAGGTCAGCTGCCCTTTCCACCACAAGAGCCCATATTGCTCTGGATGTACCTGACCAAGTGGGCTTTGCTTCTGGCCAACAAAAGCTACTGTCACAATATGATTAAAGTCAAGGAGTGATTAAAATGTGGCAGTAAAATGTGGAATCTGCTGCAGAGGATGTAGTGATGGTCACAGGCACTAACGGCTTTAAAAAGGGATTAGATGGCTTCATGGAGCATAGGTCTATCAGTGATTACTAGGCACAGTGACTAAAGGGAACATCCACATTCAGAGGCAGTAAACCTCTGAATACTAGTGCCAAGAGACAAAATGACAGGAAAGGCCTTGGCCTCTATGCCCTGTTGTTGGCCCTCCAGAGGAACTGATTGGTCAGTGTGTGAGACAAGATGCTGGACAAGAAGGACCAGTAGTCTCATCCAGCAACCTTATATTTAATGGTTTTAAAGGTGCCACAGGACTCCTTGTAGATTCTCCTTCATAACAGCAAGGACCAGCAACATGCGTTTTGCTGTGTATTTCTGAAGAAAATTGAAAACTCTCTCCAGGAGCCTGCAAAATCACTACTCACCCCTCTATTTTCTGGTTCAGGTCTCTGCCCTTGAGGTCGTGGTGGTGTTTTTTCTCTGTAAGATATAATTAATTCAGCTGAGTTAAGCACTGGTTAATTTACAGGCTTGGTACTGCTTGGGTCTTAGGACCCCGGAGCTTGAACGTTCTAGTCATCTCACCCTCAAGTGGTGGAAAGGTGTTCACTAGCTTTCCCTTGCCACACACCCCTTTAACCCTCTTTGGGTTAACCTCTAGCAGGTCAGCCTATAGGCTTGTAGCTCTTATCAACCCTGAGGAGGAGGAAATAGATGTCCCCACTAGAAGCTCATCTAGGGATCTTTGTTCATGATGGATTCATAAGTAGCTGCCTACAAATACTTAGCCACTAGTGCAGTGCAAGTCAATGTTCAGGGCAGAAAATACAGAGGGCATCTTCTCCTTTAGCAGTTTGGTGAACAATCCACAAGACCCTTCCCCAATGAAATCAACAGGAGCTGCGCAAGAGCAGAGTACTTTCAGGTAGAGCATACTCAGAATAGATGAGTCACACAATAATCCAGCTCTCAGCTCGTTATCCATAACAAAACTCAGTATCTGCCTGAAGCAGCTCCTTCCTCTCTCCCAGCATAAAGATCAGCACCCAGATTACTTACAGTCCACCCAAGACGGTCAAATGACGTCCACTGCTGTAACTCAGGACTTTTCAAACTGGCAACTTTTAGGAAAGCTTTTCCACAACAAATCACCTGAACACATTAAGTTCTGCCGTGGATGTTCTAGGGCATGTTCCAGGGCTCAATTCATACTTACTCTGGCCAGGGTTGTCTTCACTATTACTTTGCATCCGTAGAATATGCCCAAGAATACACCTAACACACTCCTGTGACTACACACTGCTAGGGAAGCTCACCACTGGTGGGCAAGCAAACTACCCGTCAGGGAAACTCGCCCGCCATTACTAGCCAGTTCATTGAGGAACCTCTGATGAGTTTCTCAGGGGCTCCAGAATTCCCTGGCATGCAATTGTAAAACCAGTGGTCTAACGGGCAGCAAGTGCAGTAGCATGGCAGAGCAAAGCCAAGCAGACATCAGAGCATCCAAATCTCTTGTGCCAGATCAAGGTTTTCCCATTGCTCACACCTTGTTATATAAAACTGCATATGTCCTCACTGAAGTTCCTCTGGCAGATAAGTGCCCTGTAATTAATCTACAAATAGTAATAAGCATTTAGTTCTAGCAAGAAGATGTTCAGACAAACAAGGAACGTGTACAGGAATCTGAAGATGTAGTAAATACCTCAGAGAAACAACCCATTCCACATGTCTATCACTTCAGCAAATGCCATTCACTGGGTTCCATGTAAGTGAGTGAAACCATGTTTCTAGGAGTGATAACTTTGAAGCGTCTCACCTGGGGTCCTGTTGTCCAGTACTGCCCCTTCCGTAAAGTGGGATAACTTTATCTCGGCTGATTCCTGCTTTACATACGGGACACACTTGCCTGTTCGGCCTGGTCTCTAACCACTGAAAGATAAATATGAGAACAATATTGAGTAATATAAATAGAGCCAATGGAAAAGAAGATTAAAGAAAGTCTCAGACAAACCATACTATATAAATATTGAGTAGTATCCTACGTAACAGGACAACTATGAACAGCAGTATTCTTAATGATGCAACTGGACTAAAATATTATGTGAACGGATGCAAAAGGAAAGTCCAGAGCTGTTCAATGTATATAATAGTGATATTGTAATAAATAGTGTAAAGAAATAGAAAAGAACCGCTAAAAATGAAGAACAAGAGATCTGTTCCACAAGATCCAAGAAATCAAAGGGAAATATAAAACACAGCTAGGCATGGTGAAAGATCAACATGGAAATACATTAACCAAACAGGACGAAGTAAAGAAAAGATGGGACCAATACACTGAAGACCTTTATAGAAGAGGTGAACGGATAACAGATTCCTTCAAAGAACAAACTTTTGAAGAAGAACCTATAGTTTTAGAATGTAAAGTGAAAGCTGCACTGAGATCAGTTGGGAGAAACAAATCACCAGGAGTAGATGGGATATCAACAGAGCTACCCCAAGTCACAGAAACAGAGTCCATTAAAATCTGAACAGGAATATGTCAATATGGAAAACAAAACTATGGCCTACAGACTGGAAATGTTCCATCTGCATTCCCAGTCCAAAAAAGGAGACATCAAAGACTGCAGCAACTATCAGACCATCACATTAATTTCTCACGCAAGTAAAGCGATGCTCAAAATCTTACAAAGAATGCTAGCACATATGGCACTAGAAAGGCCAGATGTTCAAGCCAGATTCCAAAAAAGGAGAGGTACCAGAAATTATATTACAAATTTATGTTGGTAACTGGAGCATATGAGAGAATTTCAGATGAAAATCAACTTGTGTTTCATAGATTACAGCAACGCTTTTGACCGTGTACATAATGAAAAGCTATGGTTGGTTTTAAAAGAAATGGATATGCTACAACATCCCATTGTTCTGGTACACCTGTTTTTAGTTGGCAAAGATGTCAGGCTAGGATGTATTTTATATCTGAATGTCTTCAATCTATATGTAGAACATATAAGAAAAAGGCCGGATTCGATTTACATGAAGGTGGAATGAAAATTACTGGAAGGAACATTAACAATTTGAGATATGCAGATGATACCACATTACTGACAGAAGACAGTAAAGATGTGAAACAATTACTGATGAAGATTGAAGCAGAAAGTGTTAAAGCAGGCTTACAGCTGAACAACAAGATGACAAAAGTAATTACTACAGGGGAATTAGACAGCTTTAAGGCTGATGGTGAAGAAATTGAAATTTTCTATTCCTTGGCTCCATCATCAACCAAACTGGAGACCGCACCCAAGGAATCAGAAGGAGATTGAGACTGGGAAGGGCAGCCACAAAGGAGCTAGAAAAGATTCTTAAATGTAAGGATGTGTCACTGGTGGCCAAGATCAAAAAAATTCATACCATAGTATTTCCCATTACTGTGTGAAAGTTGGACAATTAAGAAAGTTGACAGGAAGAAAGTTCCAAGAGTCCTGTAGCACCTTAAAGCCTAACAAAATTTGTGGCAGGGTATGAGCTTTCATGAGTCACTGCTGGACTGAAAAACTGCACAGTGACTCACAAAAGCTCAGACTCTGCCACAAATTTTGTGAGTCTTTAAGGTGCTATGGGACTCTTGCTCTTTTCTACCACTACAGACAAACACAGCTACCCATCTTGATCTATCTCCAAGGAAGAAAGTTGATTCATTTAAAATGTGGTGTCAGAGGAGAGTTTTATGGATAATGTGGACCGCCAAAAAGACAAATAAGGGGGTTCTAGACCAAATAATCTCCAAACTCTCCCTTGAAGCTAAAATGACTGAACTGAGCCCATCATACTTTTGTCATATTATGGAAAACAAGACTCACTAGAAACGACAAGAAAACTAGGAAAAAGTTGGAGGCAGCAGGAAAAGAGGAAGACCCAACATTGATTCAGTACAGCAAGTCACAGCCCTCAGTTTGCAAGACCTGGGCGAGACAATTAATGATATGACGTGTTGGAGATCATTAATTCATAGAGTCACTGTAAGTTGGAAGAAACTTGATGGCACTTAATACACGAGACCTACATTAGGCTGTAGAAAGTTCGTCCAGCATAAGAAGCCATCCTCCATCTTAAGTGGCTCCTGTGCTAGAGAAACAACCTCTTCAATTGGAGGAAGGCTTCAAACTTTGCTTAGTGGAGTTGTATGATAACAGATAATATTAGTATGTGTGTTAGATGCCTGGTGCAAAATTGGCTGTGCGGAGAGAACAGCTTATCTGTACACAGAATGTCCCAGGTTCAGTCCCTGGCACCTCCAGTTTAAAAAAGGATCAGGCTGTATGTGATGCAAAAGACCTCTGCCTGTGACCTTGGAGAGCAGTTGCCAGTCACAGCAGACCATATTGACCTGGCTCAGTATAAGGCAGTTTCCTGCATTCTCAGCCCCATCTGCAGCACAGGGATAGTAATACTGACCTACCTTACAAGGTAGCTGTAAGGATTACTGAACTAATGTTAAGTCTTCTGAGCTCATTATTATTAACTGTGTCTCCTTACAGAAACATACAAAGAAAAGCTAAGAACCACCCACTCCAACGCAGATTGCAAACGATTGCATGTTAACTCCCATTAGCAAATTGAGTGGCCCTTGAGGAATTTTAAACACAGTTCATTTAGGAGCGGAAAGGGATATTGCAGCTTCTGACAGAATCCCTGGGGAGGGCTGAGGGAGTGATTGTGCAAGAACAGCTGATGAAAGACAAAGTAAAAGAAAACCAACCTTACCTGGTGTAAACACGGCCAGCTGTTTGGATTTCCAAAGTGATTTGGTTGCAGAGCAGAGAGGGAAAGAGGATAAGGAAAGGGGGGAAAATCAGTCAATACACATGTGAAACTGCATGTGAACAAACAGAAGAGTGGACCCCAGCAGTACTGGTTCTACACTAGTACACTAAAATAAACCAAACATTTCAAAAGGGCAGCAGCAAATATTTTCAATTGCTTCTTTTTCAGAATGTACAATCTGACATAAAGACCACACAGCTGAAAAGGACAAAGGGACCAGCACAGTTAACTCTCTTTTTTAAAAACAAAACCTTCCACAATAGTATAATCCTCTATAATCCTCCCAGATTACAGCCTGCAGTAAGAATGCAAAAGGTACACTGTGAGGGCTGCTGAACAGACAGTTTCAAATAACCAGGGCAGCTGACTGATTCTGCCAGAGCCAGGCCAAGATGTTTTCCCACCCAATGGCTGCACCTCACGATCCAAGACAGACACCCCAGGGTTTCTTGTAAAAAAAAGTCTGAGGATGTTGCAACTCCTGGATCACCTTTGCAACACTACCAGGAAACCCATGGCTGCCTCTGATGACACTGAAAACACTCCTGTCCCAAATGACCACATGGGCTGCTCTACAGTTGGCCCCCAGACCAGGATTCTAGACCAGGATTCTACTGAAAAGAAGATCCTGTACTGACTTCCCCCATTGTTATGGTATCTCAATAAGAAACAAAGCAAGTAGATGGCACCAGCCAGAGCAGAAAGCAAGCAATCCTACTGACAGCCACACGTCAATTACTTCTGCCTACGCAACCCATTACATTTAAATTCTCCAACTAAGCACCTGACCTACCTTCTTCACTTTTAGCTGACAAGCTCATACTTCCCATATAGTGGGAGTAGCTGACACCTATGGTAATTATAGGGAGGGGAAAGTAGAAACCCTAATTTATACAGCCAAGCTGGACATACACTCTGAAATGGGAACAAGTCAGGAAATTATTAATTCCAGTTTGGCCTAAAGGCTACCAAGCCCTAGATTCAAGCAGTCTGACCCATAAATAAGATAAAGTAAAAAATAAGACACAATTACAGCAACATGCCTGCCCTCAAAAGCCCCCTGTTCACAGCTGGGGCTTTGTACAGCTGCAGCAATGCTTTGAAGTAGCTTCTCACCAGAGCACCCTAAGAGAATGAAACTTCCTTGATCTCCATGAAAGTGTCATGGAGAAGCAGGCCAATGACAAATCAAATTAGGATTCATAAAAAGGAGAGCCCACACTTAGGTATAGATCACATGCTCTGCACGCAGAAGTCCCAGGGATGAATCAAGACTTATTTTTCCATTGCTAGAACTTTCTTGCCCTGTCCACACACACTGTCTGCAACCTACTCATCTCTATGAAATGCTACTCTTGAGGGGGGAGATAAGGAACCCTGAGGAACATGATGGGTCCTGGAGCAGGAAAGAAGAATCAGAGGAAACTGCCAACTTAATCTGGATCCAAACCACTACCACTCCCAGGTTCAGTCCTCAGCATCTACAAGATCGCAAGCAGCAGGGCTGAAAAAGACCTCTTGGCCTGAGACACTGATGAGCAAAAAGTACTGACTAGATGGATAAATGGCCAAGAAGTGTGCAATCTCTGAAATGAGACCAGATTGCTACAAAGGCAGTAAACACACCCACCTTGTTACTTGCCTTTAAAGTAACTGGTTTGGAGGTGAATAGGAAAGGTGTAGGGATAATTCAGTTTCTTTGGGATTCCCACCACCCTTTTAATGGAAAGTTTTAACTATTATATACCCCACTCAGAACCTTCAGTGTAGAATAGAACATTAACTGAATGAATGGACAGCTGAACAAGAAAATGACACTAACCAGAAGAGGTGCCCACACAGACTGATCACAGCATCCTTAGCTGTGTCCAAACAGATGTTGCATTCAAAAGTGCTATCCTGACTGGCACTGTCCCCATTACTGCTGTTTCCACTGGTCCCACCAGTATTGGAGTTCTCCATGGAGGCTGAAGCTGCAGTTCCTTTGCTGGCCATTCTTGGATCCTGATCAAGCCCAGCCAAGAAACTTTTTCCAACTGAGATCTAAGGATACGAAAGACAACTCATTTAAAGGATGCAATCATATTATTTTGCTTAGAATGAGACAATAATAAAGGCTGTTTTCATGCAATTAGAGCATTTTGAGTCTTATATCTGTTTCACTTTTATTACAGCCAACAAGAGAAATATTGCACACCCTGATCTTAACACACAGCTACAATCAACAACAGTAGAACCACAGAAATATCTGTCTTTCTTGTGGCCTTCTTGTCCACATCTTTTAACCAAGCCCTGCTTGCTCTGCCACAAATATTCATCGTTGCAGTTTTTGAATGCGCTCTAAAATTCACAGTGAAGCATTTCTATACCTCACCCTATCCAGTGAGATCATAATAGCTTACTCCTGCCAGACACAAGCCCAAGTAGGTTTCAATAAAGAATCAGGGGAAATAGGCCAGTCAGCTTTGCCTTTCAGCAGTGAACACACTCTGCAACCCAAAAATTAAAAAATTAAGAGCTGCTTTGCTACTTTCAGCTTGTCAGACTGAGCCATTGGTGAACAATTCCAAGATTTTAGTTCGGTGACCTGTCCAGCAAGCTGCAAGCAAAAATGCTTCGTAGAGTCCCAGCAATGGAAGACTTATGGATGGGCTGCCCAGATGCCAGTACTGGGCATCAGAGCCTGGCTATGAGTTATAGCCACTCCTGTGGGAAGAAGCTGGTTGCGTTCAGAATCTCAAAGGTCACCCCCTGGCACCTTCCCAACTGGCAAGTGGATTGAAGCACTGGATCAGCCCACAACTTGCCTTTCCCTGCCATCCCAGGAGAGTAAGCTCCAGCAGAAGGTTAATGGGGGTAGGTGGGAGAGTAAATTTCCAATCTGAGAGTTAACTGCTCAGAAAATTGAAATAAATAAACTCAGCCAACCTCCTCCCTGCTGGGACAGTTGCACGACAGAATTTTAGGGCTCAAAATGAAAGCAACCCTAACACAATGCCAGATGACTCTTCTCAGGCAACTAGCTACAAGCCTGAGTTAGTCAAGTTTACCTTCTAGATCAGGAACTGGAACTTACAAAGGTGCATTGTTCCAAGGCCCCGTTAATACACATTAGGTCCAGCTATCATTTACTTATAATATTATGTCTAAGTGTTTCGTTCCTGGAACTTGGGCTGTTAAGTATCTTCACCATAACATGGAGGGCTACTTTTAAATTTTATACTAGCCTTTTTAAATTGGAGAAGATTCCAACCCTTACAAAAATAGCAGCTAAAGAACAGAGCTGGAAGAGTTGGTATTTAGGTATTGAAGATAAGCTGACTCATCTGAAATGCTCTAGGTCAATTCTACAGGGTAGAGGAGATAAGTTTATTAAGCTAGTAAACAAGAAACTGACTAGTTTTGACGGGAAGTTATTGCTGAGAGACGCAAATAGAAAACACTCTCCACTGTATATTTGTCTTTTCCATGCTCTTTTACTCTTTCTAAACATTTTTATTTCCCAATGCATAAATATAGAAGAATCTTTACATTGGCATGCTGTAATGCCCTTCCGACAGCAAAAATGGCAGGATAGTACTTAAAAATATCAGTTATAAATTGCTTATGTAAACATGATACAAATGAGGTAGAGTCATTAGTTTATGTAATATTCCACTGCCTTCTGTACAATAAACTGAGAGAGAAATATATCATCTCTTGGACAAGGAATTTAGATGAAACATCTGAGATCCAAAGGATATGTTTTCTTTTAAATGGCTCGTTACAAAAGTTAACCATCAACATAACGAAGTTTCTTTCAGCAGCATTTTTTAATAAAGGAGAAAAACTTCTCTTAGAGACAGTGGATGGCCTCTTTGGCTAATAAGCTTTAGGAACAGGAAACAAAGGTGCGTCTTGAACAAAGCTACAACTCTGGAAGACAGTTCAATGGGATATGAGCAGACCCTATTTAGTGGACTATCATTGCACTGGCCTATGGAAGGCCAAATGCATTGTGGCAGCCCATTATTTTTGGTAACTGATTAGCCAGAAAAGGAGACGTAGCAGAAAGCTACCTGGGAATTCTGCTAAGAGGGTCATTTATCAACATATGCCAGAAGTAACCAAAAGCCTTTAGTGTTCAACATTCACATTATTATTTTTCCTGTTAGAATGACAGAAGTGTTCATCTGTAAAATCTAAGTACAGCAGCATCAGATTCAATTGGACAACGTTGTTCCCTATCTGCCACTGTTTTATAGAAGCACAATCTTACAAAGGCTTCTGCTAAACCTTCAGTGAAATTAACAGGAGTTGCACAACAGCACAACTTTTGTTTTAACTGGTTTGTGACAGAAAACAGTCTGTGCTCATTACAATTTCCATCCTCTTACGCCAACCAAAGCAGATCTAATAGAAGATAGTGGCATGCCTATTTTATGCACCTGTTCAACTGGCTTCCATTTAAGCCCATCCCTTTTTCATTTAATCAGGTCCTGAAAAGCACACCTGGCAACATTAAAGCTGAACAGAAGACTTCGAGAATTCAGGTTATCAAGACAGCATATTCATGTACTGATTGTAACAACAGTCACCCTATATTTTAGTTGAAAGTCAAGAGCAATGATTGACAATTAACCAAGATAGAACAATTTCTCTCTTAGTCTATTTCACTTTTCATGAGTAAAACACTAGGCTGCCAACTTGGGTAAAGATATAAAAAGTACTCTGCCTTTTAATCAACTGCTCAGTTAAATATAAATAAATCAACCCATCACCAAAACCTTAATATAAAACAACCACAAATATAATGCAGCAAAGTATTAGATTAGGAATAAGGAGACCTAAGAACTGCATGCCCATTATTTAAAATCTGCCTTTCTCATTGATACTCAACCTGGATTATGCAGCATAAATCACAAGTGGATGCAATCAGTACAATGAAACATCCAATAAGCAATGTAATAGGACTAAGATTACAGAATCTGAAACAAAACATTAGACACTCAGGAGAATAAAAATGCCTTTTTAACAAGTGCTCTGAACATTCAAATTCACAAATTAAATTCTGTCCCACCAATAACCCCAATAAAGCTCATGAAACTGACGAGAACAATTAAAGCTTTCCCCTTATACAACAATGCCAAGACACAATATGCTATATAAGAAAGAACACCTGACACAACTATTCTTCCACAACAGTAAATAGACAATAGATCCTAGCCTTGCAAGACTGCCTCATCATCTCTTACCTCAAGAGGGCTGAGCCTGTCCCCTTACTTCTTTTACAAGGAGAAGCACCAGCAACAAAGTCTTCAGAGTCTCTGCTCTTGAAAATGGCACTTCCCACATGCAGCAACACAATCCTACTGTGGAACTAGAGACGAGTCATGCCCAAACCCAGTTTAAGTACCAAATCACCAGAACACAGCAAGTGGGAAAAGAAGAAACCTTGATTTCAACAGCTCTTTTTCATTCAGTTACATCATTTTGCAGGATGTCCCCAAAGGGCAGCTCTGCAATCAGCTAACTGGCCTTAACGGATACAGCCTGAAGCCTTGCACATTTTCAGTAGTTCATCCATCTCTAGCAAAATTATCAGATTAATTCGTTAAGACAAAAAACCCAGCTTGAATCTAACAGCAATTATTTATGCAATTTCCCATCCAGCAAAACCCTCCACTCTTATTTCAGCAGCTGTCTATTGCCTACGAACTCTGTGCATCCTGCTTTCCGGATATATTTTTGCCAGTGATTTTTCTTCTCCTCCAACTCTACCACTTTCAGCCATCGTAATACTTGAAGCCACTTTATGTTTATTTTTGAATGCAGGATAGAAATATTAAATGTATTTTTTCTTAATAAAATACTTAGATCAAACTGTCTGTGGCAAGGAAGAAATGCCTCAAGATGACTAGATTTATAACTCTTAGCAAACTAGCAGAAGAAAACACCAGGGTGTGCTTTACTATTTCACCTTTGAATTGCACACTGCAGCAGCTTTGGGCAGCAAAATGTTTTGGGTGAACCTCACACTGATCACTGGGAAACCCAAGCAACATTTTTAAATGCCTCCAGACAACTGCTCAGAGAGGCATCAACAATTCTTATTATGCATGACTTTCAAATATCTGTTTGCAGGACTGACCCTTTGGTGTCTGAAATATTTCCCCAGACATACTGACAAAGTATACATCTCTTTAGAACACATCTGGAGGAGGAAGGGGAAGTAATGGAATTCTAGAAATTTTAACAAGAGTATGATCATCTATCAAGAGATACATCTTACTTCTACTCTCTTCTAGAAAGCCAACTTTTAACACTTTTACCAGCAAGATATTTAACATTCTTCATTTACTAAAAAGGGGAAAAAAGAAATCTAGACAAATGAGTTAGATAAAGCATCTGGATTGGTTATCCTGGTCTGGAACTATTATACAATAATACATTTATAGAAAACAAAGTTCTAAATGAAGACCTGGAGATGGATCTATATGGTATTTCAAAGGACTCAAAAACATAATAAATCTATTATGATTTCTGGTCCGTTGAATATGGACACACAAAAACCACTTTAGGAGATTACAAAGCAACACCACAATGTCTTAAGATAAAATTCAAAGTGAAACCAAGTATTAACAGCAGCTTCTACTGACAGACTGTGCAAAATGCTGCATTTTTGAGTGGGTAGAATGCAGAAGCACAAAAAGGGTAATGACTAGCTGGAATTATACACAGAATTTTAGAAACATTTTTTTCCAAAAAAACCCAAAGTGATAGCTATGGCATTTTTCCTAACCTACCTGTGAATTATCCTGAGGTATCTGCATGCATGCAGAGATATGAAGGCCAATTAAAAAACAGGCACAGGGGAGAAGGGAGAGGCCCCCTCCTCCAAATACCAGATATGGAAACTCTGGGGAAAACTTGTGAGTTTAGAAACAAAAGCTCTAACACTTACCTGCATTTGATGATGCTATGCTATTAAAGAGCCTGGTGGTATTATTTGCTATATATCCAAATATATCGCTGGCAATTTCTTTCTTTTTCATATTAGAGAAGTGTTTGTTTCCTGAGCTGTTACTACAGAAACAAAATTCCTGC